GAGAGGGAGGAGGGTGGGCGGGGCGAGAAGCAGACTCCCTGCCGAGCAGGGAGCCCGATGCGGGACTCGATCCCGGGACTCCAGGATCATGACCTGAGCCGAAGGCAGTCGCTTAACCGACTGAGCCACCCAGGCGCCCCCTATTCTGACAATGTTAACAAAAAGTTTTACCTATAGGTCTCATAACTGAGTTTTTACTTCATAGTAAGTAATTTAAACTTTGCATACAAATTTTTTTTAATGGGGCTGGGGAGGAGGAGTGGACTGGATTCAAGCATTTCCTCACTCCATCAAAAAATCTGACAGAGGGGGCGGTGGCTCAGTCGGGTTAAGCATCTGACTCTCGATTTCAGCTCAGGTCGTGATCGCAGGGTACTGAGAGGACTGTGTCCAGCTCCACGCTGGATGTGGAGCCTGCTTAAGATTCTCTCTCCCCCTCTCCCTGCCCTGCCCCCAGCTCTCTCTCTCTTCAAAAAAATCTGACAGAGACCAGAAAAGAGAAGAACAGATCAGCTACAGCCCAAAAAACTACAGAAGGGAAAGAGAGAAATCAAAGAAGAAATCTAGTTCATTTATGGATAGAGAACAAGGATTGGGGAAAACAGAGCAGAGAAAATAATGAGGGGAGATTCAATATATACCAAAGATCCTAATTTCTATTAGCTTAAGGATGAATGAAAACTATTCTTCTAAAAAGAAAAGAAAAGGTAAGTGACCTTGATTTGGGGGAAGGGAAGGAATGGTCACAGGAAGAAAGCTATGCAAAGACAGCCTGATGCAAGTTTAAAAAACAAAAAAGTGAAAAAAATTCTAGGAGGGAAAAACTGCTACTTAAGTCCTCAACTGAATGAGCTAATATTCTTCCATTATACATACTTCATACTCTCTTCCAAGTCCTTTATCATATGGATTAAGTGGTTTGTGCAGTAAAAACAGTTGAGCATAATGAAAATAATCACCGACTTTAGAGTCAAGTGGTTGGAAATCAGGTCCTGACTCTACACACTAGCTGTATAATGTTGAACAAACTACCACATTCAGAGAACAGGAGTTACATACTTATTAGCACACAGAGTTTCTGTGAGTCTTTACTGGAAGAACATGTATAAAAAAAATTTAACTTAAAACACGCCAACAGTGCACTGTTGTTGTTGTGGATGTTGTTATTACCATGAGTTGAATCACTGTATCACTATGAGAACGTTTTCTTCTTTTTTTTTTTTTTTTTTAAAGATTTTATTTATTTATTTGAGACAGAGAGAATGAGAGACAGAGAACATGAGAGGGAGGAGGGTCAGAGGGA